GCCAGCACAAGTGTCCCCTGTGTCGCGCAGAAATAAATGACAATACCACACTGGTATCTCCAGCCGCCGAGCTAGGCGAAGACACCGACACCGTCGAAGCTGACCCCGACAGCCCAAGTAGCAAGATCGAGACCCTAGTCAAGATCCTCACGGCCCAGGGCCAAGCACCAGGAACCAAGACCGTAGTATTCAGCCAGTGGACCTCATTCCTGAATCTGATCGAGCCACACCTCCAGCAGCACCGTATAAAGTACGCCCGCGTAGACGGCAAGATGCCCTCCGTGAAACGGGACAACAGCATCAACGCCTTCACCCACGACCGCGATTGTGTCGTCCTCCTGGCGAGTCTGAGTGTGTGCAGTGTCGGTCTCAACCTCGTTGCGGCGAATCAGGTTATTTTGTCTGACAGCTGGTGGGCACCGGCCATCGAGGACCAGGCTGTGGATCGTGTGTACCGGCTCGGGCAGAAGCGGGCAACGACGGTCTGGCGTCTTGTTATGGAGGATAGTATTGAGGAGCGGGTGCTGGCGATTCAAGAACGGAAGAGGAGTCTCATGCTTGCTGCGTTCCGGGAGACGGCGAAGAAGGCTGAGGATCGGGGTACGCGCGTTGCTGATCTCGAGTCGCTGCTGCAGTAGGACGGGAGGCTACTGTTGACTCTCGTGTCTGCTGGTTGTTCTCATACGGGAATGCATGTACTAGGAATGGCAGATGGGGAGTCGTCTACGGCCATTTATCTTAATCTACGTATGGGAAAGGAAGCTGTGTTTGATTTCTGATGAACTCTTAAAGCTGGTGACTAGATACACAATGGGGAAGCAAAGGGAAGGAAGGGGAAAGCGACGAAACGTTTCATTGGGGTTTAAGACTCAGATCCCGATACGGGAAACCACGCCCTTAGGATTCCATCCGGAGATGTGTATCACGAAGGGGACGTAGTTCATCATTGTCTCCTCTCAACTCAAGCCTTTCGTGCCTGTTAGCCGTCAACACATACCCCATAGAAGAAGCCCGCCGAGAGTTAAGGTACGACCCAGAACTGCTGCAAGAGAAACCACTCCACGAGTGGCTTCTAGCAGCAATCCCCGTCTGTAGGGACCAACACGCAGTTTCCAAGCAGCAAGCTACCGGAGGGACAACGAGTGGGGTTGCAGACTAGGAAGTTTTTAGACTCACCTCCCGTTGGGCTTCCGTGATGTCCAGGGGACGAACTCCAGACCGCATGAGAGGATTGCCAAAAGTCAGTTCAAACCGAAGATTGAAGAGACAAGATCCGACCGAAGAAGGAGACGTGAGCATGTGCCCACAGTCGGTTCAAACAAAAGAATGAAGAGACAAGACCCAACCGAAGAAGGAGAGAGACTTGAGAGTGTGCACAAAGTCAGATGAAGAAGAAAGAAAAGAGAAAGAGAAAGTTGGGGGAGGGCGAGATATTTATAGGGAAGCCAGCCTTCCCAATCGGGAAAAATAAAATCATTTTACTTTTAAAGTTGAACCCCCCTAATTGGCTGAATGGGCTGCAGGGTGAACATCTATTGTCTTTTTCAACTTACCTTTGTATTCTCCCCAAGGCTTGGGTTATTGAAGCCATTCCTGAGACTGCCCTGTAATATGACGACTGGGGAGCTAGTAGTAACACAGTAATCTCGCCTATTGTATGTGTCCTTGTGCTCAAATTCAGACTGCCCAGGTGGTCCTTTCTTTGTACACTGAATCAGCGAAACGAGTGAGCAGATTCCCCATGGCCTGGTTTCTCCTTCAGGCCGTACTCGCACGCTACCTCAAAACGGTCAGAGGCAGCTGCATCCTCCGCATCGACAGCAGGGCATGTGTATCTTATCGCTGCGCTGAAATGGAGCTCCTAGCATACAGTGGCTTGATATTACGGCGACAAATCCATAGGAATAATGGATGTCGTGTGGCTTCGGCTCCTTACAAGTACTTATCTGTCCTGGCTCTGAACCTTGGCCACAGGAAGTTTTGTCACGAAGGAGGGCGTCACGAAGGAGGGCGTGCAGTTATGGTGTCAGGATAGGTCCGATGAATGGAATACAGCCGAGGCACCAACAAGTCCACAAGTTCTCAAGGACTGTCGTTCAGCAAGCCTACAGATATCCACGCAAGGAAATGAAGAGATATCATAAAATAGGAAGGCATTAACCGGGGATTGGTGATGGGCCATAAGTTACGTGTCTTTGATAGACATTAGTTGACTACGTGTAGGTGTTTGTGTTTGATCGGACAACAATTACACAGTAATCGTACAATAATATTGAAAAATGCTAATGGGGTATCGAACAAATGACCGAACACAGACTGACAGAGACGTATCAAGATCACAAATCGGGAAATATCTTAGGAGACCAAGTCTACTGGTACATTGCCATGCCCTCCTCGGACATAGGAGAGATGGATCGTGGATGGACTGAAAGGGACTCAGGTGGTTTGGAGGCCAAAGGACGCGGGCTCATAGGAAAGGAAGGAGGCATTGGCGGCACAGAAAATGTAGCTGAGCTAGCAATCCTCGGTTTTTCCAGCTCAATGTCTTCCGCGGTCAACCGTTCTCCGTTTTTCTCATCATCACAGGATTTGATTTGAGCCGCATGACTCTTGGCGGCCTGTACTTCCAACCTGTTTTTGGTCTCGTATTGCCTCCATGCGTCAAGTTTGGGCCCCACTGATCGACGTAGCCTTTGCTGATCAATTGCGCTGTCGCAGGATTTAATTTGAGCCGCATGGATTTTGCGCGCCCTCTTGTCGGCCTTTTTTTGCTTCCACCATCTTGCACGTTTGGTCTCCGGCTTTGGCCCAGGGCTGTCGCAGGATTTGATTTGAGCCGCATGGATGTTGGCGGCCTCTCTCTCCAACTTCTTTTCGGCCTGTAGTCGCTTCCATTTTGCACGTTTGGTCTCCTGTAACGGAGTCGGCACATCCATGTCAAATGACTTCTGCTCCGGCTCGGGGCTGTCCCCAGTAAGGTCAATTACTTCCCGAGTAGCACCTGTAGATAGTCCAGATATGAGACTGGTTTCGGGTAGACTTTGATCAAGAATGTCTGATCCCAGACGCGGCTTCTTGGCAGCCGGTTCATCTGATGGACGATTGTCGCTGTCTTCGGAATTGCAAGCATCAGAGGGGCCTTCGGCATCAGAAGGTTCTCCGGGATCTCCAGAGTCGTAGCCATCGGATGTACTCGAGGGATCGGACGGACCGGGGGGACCCGAGGTAGCGAAGGTACTCATGCCGTGTGGTTCGCTCCTGTCCTGTTGGATCTGCTCTGGGGAGGGCTCCAGCTTGTCCAGCACAGCCAGTTGCCACTCACGAAAGAAGAGGTCCGACAGGGTTTCATCCAGACTCTCGCAAGCTTTGATAATCAAAAGCCCAGATGTGTACCTGTGTCCGTAAATTGCATCGCGCAGACCCGAGAGGCGTTTTTCGAACCTGGCAATGTCATTCAAGGCTCTGTCACTGATAGCGGTATCGTCGCGTCCTTGCTCGCAGAGTCCACTGGCTTCCCACATATCCTTTGAAATTCCACGTATCCATGCCAGCCTTTTGTCTGAAATCAGCTTATCCACGATGGAATTAAATTCCGTCAGGTTGACTGGTGGCGTAGACTCGGTAGGGATGTCTTTCTTCTTGGGATTCTCGGGCAAAGCTTCAATCTCCATCTGATCTTCGGTGTCGTATTCCGATTCCCCATACGGCGGCAAAACATCATCTTCATTTCCTGTCGTGTTCTCTGGGTTATTTTTGACAATGTTCGCTTTGAAGCGCTCCCACCCTGGGTGAAGAGGTTTGCCATCATCGTCTGTCGGGGGCAGGGATGATCGGAAAGCTGACGAGGGATTAACTGCAGGTGATGCAGATGCTATTGGTTTTGGAACGAGAGGTGTTGTAATGATGTTGGTGGCATGTCGGGGTTGCTTTTTGGTTGTAGCAGTTAGTATAGTCCCAGCGGCAGGGGTGTTTAGAATGACGGCATGCAACGGCTCAGGTTGGGCTCTCAACCCAGAAACTGTGAATTGCATAGAGCTAATAGGGGTACTTGCCATGGTGGTACCGGCGGGCTCAGTTCGACTGCTCTGCTCTGGGGCAGCGGTTGGAGGAAAAGTGGCCGAGCGATCTCGCAGGATGCTGATGCCTATTATCATGTATGCACGTTGAGCAAAAGAGCTCACGCCCAGATCATCCCGAAGAACCTCATTTGTAACACAGCAAAGAAGCACATTGCCAGTGATATTGTTTGCGCGAAAAGCAGGTCCCAGCAAAGCAGGATCAGGAGGATGGAGACCATTGGCCCACGATGGGTCTTCCCCATCCGGCCAGAAAAAATTTATGACCTCATCCACAGAGTATTGACTAGGGTTCTTGGCATCTGAGGGGATGCGTGCCGGGGGTGCCTGTCATATAGTTAACGCATCGTTCAGACGTGTTGCGAAGTGCATCCGCAGAGGACATGTTTTGAATGGGGATACACGGGGTGAAAGAAACTGAGACTTACCATGATGGGCGCATAAAGAGTTCCAGATCAGTTGACACACGAAGATGGATGCAGAAGGCTGCAGGTAACAGTGTGAATGGTAAAAAGAGCAAAGACACGATTTGCACGGAAAAGGAAAGGTTAAAAGAGTGTGGGAAAGAAAGGAAAGAAGAGAGAGAGAAAAGGGAAGAAAGAAAAAAGAAGGGAAATAAAAGGGAAGGGAGACAAGCCCTAATGTGATAATGTGACGCTCTCTTACTTCTTAAATAGGAAATAGTAATCATTCTGCCAGACATTTCTGTGCTTATCTAGGCGGTGATTTACTTCAGGCAGATATCAGGCATGATTAACCTTATGCAGAAGGCGGTCATCCGTCCCTCAGCTTCTGCCTCAGGTGTTGATAGACCTCAGATGCCCCGCGAATTACAAATCACCAGACAGTCTTGGAATTTTTGGGAAAGTCCATTTAAAGGAATAACTGGGTTTTTTCACGGTCTATCTAGAATTCATCAGCAATATGACAGACTCAGTCTATTCTAGCTATCCGCCGGACTTGTCGGCGGCTCAACAAGAGTTTCTTGTCACTGCTGTGAAAGATTGGGCCATTCAAAATGGTCTTGCAGTTCGACCTTCGCCAGCAATTGTGCCTCCTGGTACAGATTCAAACGGGGTGCTTGCTACCAATGCGCCGGTGACACTGTTTCCCAGTCCGTTCCCAAGGACCTGCTTCCAGGAAGCAACTGCTCTGCAATCGATCTATAATGAACTTTATGCGGCAATCACTTGTGATACGGAATGGCTTGGGAATATCGTGGAGGGGTAAGTAACCTTCTAGTGAGGTTCTAGCAGTGCTGATTCAAGTGTTGGGCAGATTGATTGAAGTGGATGATTTCGTTGCGAACTTGTGGAAGGTTCACCTGGCGGTGCAGAAAGAGGGCTATGTCCAAAATTTGTCATTGGGCCTTTTCCGGTCCGACTACATGGCCCATGTAGCGCCCACGGGTGCACCATCTCTGAAACAAGTGGAGTTTAACACAATCTCGGCGTCTTTCGGAGGGCTTTCGGCTCTTGTGAGAGAATTGCACAATGATCTCCTCACTGTGCCGCCAGGATCATCTATCAATTATCCCTCTCATCCTCTCCTGCAATCCAGCACACCCCCTGAGAATACTGCGGTTGAGACTCTAGCTGCAGGGCTAGCAGAGGCACACAAAGCCTATGGAGCGTCAAAGTCGACACCGGCTCTCCCTCTCTGTGTTCTATTTGTGGTTCAAAAGGAAGAACGGAACGTCTTTGACCAGCATGCGCTTTCAAAACAACTCAAGACATTCCATAAAATCCCCGTTTTCCGTGTCTCCAGCGTGGATGTCTTGGATCAAACTTCAATTTCCGGATCCAACCCCTCGCGGCCATTGCTTTACCAACCCCCTCACTCTCCTGACTCGACCTTCGAGGTTACCACAGTTTATCTCCGAGCTTACTACGCACCGGATGAATACAAGTCCAGCCGTGACTGGGAGGCCCGCACACACCTGGAACGTTCCGCGGCGATCAAGTGTCCTTCCGTGCTCAACCAACTGGCTGGCTGCAAGAAAGTCCAACAAGTTCTGGCGGAGCCTACGGGACCGGACCATCTTTCAAGCTTCTTGAAGGGTGCTGACCCTTCGCTTGTCGAAAGAGTTCGGGAGACATTTGCCCCACAATACGACTTGTCAACCAATAGCCGGGGTCGGGAACTGGCTCTCAACCCAGACACTGCCATGAACCATGTCCTCAAGCCCCAGCGTGAAGGAGGTGGTAACAACATCTACAAGTCTGAAATTCCAGAATTTCTACGCTCTATACCGGAATCGGATTGGAGGGGCTGGGTACTCATGGAATTGATCAACCCAGCACCCAGTGCTCAGAATGTTGCTTTGCGGAATGATGGCGAGGTCCTCAGAGGAAACGTCATTTCAGAGCTTGGCGTGTATGGTACTATCCTCTGGGACAACAGCGGCAAGGTTTTGCACAACGACCAAGGCGGATACCTGTTGCGAACCAAAGGTAAAGAGGTGAATGAAGGTGGTGTGGCTGCTGGATTCTCCAGTCTGGACAGCGTTCTTCTATTCTAGATATAGATCTCATCTCATGTACTCATTCAAGCAATCAAATAGAGACCATGGCCGTTTATCATCTAATGTTGTCTTGGCACGACACTCTGCGGAGCGTTGTGATCCATCCAGAATCTCGCTTTTTTATGTCTCCTCTTTTTTGTCCCATCGTTGCTTTTGCGTACAGCCCGCTAGAAATGGCAATTCCTTCAAAGCCCAATTTCTGTGACCCGGAATGAGCACTTCCTGGACTCCTTCTGTGGTCAATTCTGAGGTCAGGTAGATTCTCCTTAACTTGAGTTCTCGCAATCCTCTGATCTCGTCCAGCGTGCTTCTCAGTCTGATGTGCTACAACAGGGGGTCATAAATGTGCGCACAGTGCCATGAAGTATGCATTGCTTTTGCTCTACTTTGCCCGGTATTCTTTTACCTATTTTTTGTCCATTTTCGAGTGCCTCGGGTTAATCATCTAGACCATATAAAGGTGAGGCATGTGAAAGGACTTATGGCCTATGACTGTATCATTCGAGCTTTGTACACAATCCAACAACGTCTCTTTCTCAAGTCGGTCAAATACAACGAGGTCCCACTGGTATTTGGGAACACTTCCTTGGCAAGATATTCTTATCAAGTCTCTGACGAAACGGTATTGCAGGTTCTACTCACGGCCTGGGACAAGGTCAAAAACCGGTTCGACACCCCCGCATCTGCATTCTATTCTGCTGGATTGGAGCGCATCGGCGGCTTGGAGGTACACAAACGGATAGAACTCCTCACGTCAGAGATACCGCTAAGTTGTCATCTCGAGCGATTGGCTACAGGATACTGACCCATATGAAAATAGCACAGCCTCACCAAATCGCGGCCGAGGATCCATACGCAAATACTACTCGATAAACCTTTCTTTGGACCGAGTTCGGCTTTCTGCTTGGGGCTTGTCGAGTTGGCTTTGTGATGAGACCAGCAAAGAACACATTCGAGGGTTACAAGGGGTCGCATTTCTAATAAGCTCAATGAGACAGTCGTTGGACTCGGGTCCTGAGATCCTCGTACGGGCCACCAATAGGTCCCGTGAAACGAGTGTAGCGGGCGTGGAACATCGCACGACGATCCTGGGAGCAATCGGTGAAGTGGCACAGTGCGTCGTTTCTACGGGATAGGCTGCTTGAGGTAATCAAAGTTCCTCGCTAGTGTCCGTATATGAATGGAATATGTGGTCTGACGCGTCTCCTATTGGACAAGAATGGGCAAGTCCTGCATGTTACCCAGCCAGACGGGACCGAACCCTTGTGCTCCTGCACACATTTTAGCTCGGGGCTAAGCCGCACGCTAAGTGGGCCGGATTGCTGGGATTAATATCTTGGGTCATGCTTGTATACCACGCTATTTTGACGCAGTGTAATATCTGGGCATTAAGCCTCCGTGTCGAGTCCACACTTCCAATGTTCCGGATTTCTCTGCTAACTGCATTAGCTGAAACGTCTTGATTCAGAGCTTTTGTCTTTCTTTCTCGAGGCTGTCTCCGGCCGAAGTAATCTCCTTGGTCCGATCAGGGTGTCCGAGGTAATCAAGGTATAGAGTAACTGGAGTGACTACCGTAGAGTCATTGACAGTTATGATAAGCAATGTGCTTAAGACATATACTCCCTTCGTCATAAAGCGATAGTTGTGCGTAATGCTGCTGCTGGACGCTAATTGCGCTTTGAGTAGAGATCAAAGTTCCTGTGAGATCCTTCCGTAGCTTACGTTAACTCCATCTGATGTGGACATAAGAAGATGGCTTGCTTTGCTGAAGTTATGACCGCTTTATCTGTTTGCTTCTGCCAGTTTTGATTGCCGTTCTTTCGAGACCTTTGCTTATTTCCAATTCTTTCTGCTTTGCCCTTCCCCAACTCCCTGGCTCATCACCTTTTGAGCCACTTTCATCGCTCGCCTTCACCTCATCGACCTGTCCCTAACTTACGATCAGTTGGTCTTCGCTCTTCACATCTTGGCCACACTGGAGACTTCAGGTGCCAAGATGTCTCATCTCACCGGTCATGACGCGGCTGGGGGGTATGTAGCCACACAGCCTCATGCTAAAGTCCCATTACTGACGTTTGACTAGAATGACTGAAAATGTGACCGGAGAGTAATTAACTCACTATGACGCGCAGCGGCGCGAGTATTGGCATTTGTCGCAACTTGGGCTAATATATCACAGGATCAAGAATCCTCTCGCTGGAATTTCCAATGACAAGCTTATGGCTGATGTGACAGATTATGCCACCGAGTATGGCCTTCAGGACATCCTTCCAATTCTGAAGAAGGGTGCTCTGGTCGCTCAGTCCCCGTCGGGGATCGAACTCATCCCCGAACTGAGTGATGATGATCGTCGCATCCTGACCGAAGAAACTACTCGACGCTGGAAGCACCCATTTGCGTTGTACTACACCATCATCTTGAATTCGATTTCGGCAGCTATCCAAGGCTGGGACCAGACTGGTAAGTGCTCTTTTCATTGGGTTATCCATTTTTGTATCGGAATTGACTAACAGGACCTTTGTATAGGATCCAACGGCGCCAACCTGACCTTCGATGTCCAATTCGGTATCCCGAACAACTCCCCTCAGTGCCCTGACCCGGCTACTTGCACCCGCAACCAGTGGATTGTGGGCTTTATCAATGCAACCCCATACATCACCATTTGTATTTTGTACGTACTGTTGTGAACTACATGTGGACGGTCTTCTCATTCATTCATTTTTCGATAGTGTTGCCTGGCTTTCCGATCCTCTGAATCATATCCTTGGTCGTCGTGGTACAATCTTCTTGGCCGCAATCTTTAGCTTTGCAGCTCCCCTAGGCTCCGGCTTTACCCAGCACTGGGGACAGCTTATTGCTACTCGTATGCTTCTCGGACTTGGTATGGGACTCAAGGAAGTCACCGTGCCTGTTTACTCAGCTGGTAATTGCTCAAACATTATGCGTCCCTGTTTATACTCTACTGGAATGCCTTATGCTAACTATATTAGAAAACGCACCAACCAACATTCGTGGAGGCCTTGTCATGTCATGGCAACTCTGGACAGCCTTCGGTATTTTCCTCGGCACATGCGCGAATCTGATAGTGGCCAATACTGGTGATATCGCTTGGCGGCTGCAGCTGGGCTCTGCCTTTATCCCTGCTGTACCTCTGCTTCTGGGAATCTGGTTCTGCCCAGAGTCTCCACGCTGGCTGATGACCAAGAAGGATCACAAGAAGGCATATCGATCCCTCCTCAGACTGCGGAACACTCCTTTGCAGGCAGCCAGGGATCTTTATATGATCCATGCCCAGTTGGAGATGAAAAACCAGATGATTAGTGAGTCCGGTTTCTCCAAGAAGGACAACATGTTCGTCCGGTTTGTGGAACTGTTTACGGTACCCCGCTTGCGCCGCGCTGTCCAAGCTTCTGGTATTGTCATGATTGCCCAGCAGATGTGTGGAAGTAAGTGCAACAGACGTTTTGGAGAATACACTCAACTGTATATGATAACTTCAACTAACATTTTCTCGTTCTTTAGTCAACATTATCTCGTTCTATTCCTCAACAATATTCCAGCTCGCTGGTGCATCCAACATTGAAGCACTTCTTGCCTCCTTCGGGTTTGGTCTGATCAATTTCGTTTTCGCTTGGCCTGCTGTGTGGACAATCGATACGTTCGGCCGACGTGGTTTGCTACTTTTCACCTTTCCACAAATGTGCTGGACACTTCTTGCAGCCGGATTTTGTTTCTGGATTTCTACCGACAGCAATGCACACATCGGGATGATTGCGTTCTTTGTCTACTTGTTTGACGCATTCTATTCACCGGGAGAAGGACCCGTCCCGTTCACCTATTCTGCAGAGGTGTTCCCCCTGTCCCATCGTGAAGTAGGAATGGCATGGGCCGTCGCAACCAATAACTTCTGGGCCTCAGTCTTATCGTTGACTTTCCCATACATGCTTCGAGCCCTTACTCCACAGGGAGCCTTTGGCTTCTATGCCTTCCTGAATCTTCTCGCTTTTGCTTTGATCTTCCTTTTCATGCCTGAGACCATGCAGCGCTCCCTCGAGGAACTGGATTATGTGTTTAGCGTCCCGACCCGAACTCACGCCAAGTACCAACTTACTCAAGTCCTCCCCTGGTGGATCAAGCGCTACATCTTCATGCGCAAGGATGCAGTCTGTCCCGAGCTGTATCGGGTTGCTCAGGACCCCATTCCATCGCCCAGTGGAACAACGGTCGACTGGGAAAAAATGCCCAAGGCCGGTGAGAATGAGCGTCACGCAGAGTATGCTTGACTTGACTGCAGGTCAAAATGCTATTCATGAGCTATGGAAACGATGCGGTGGGTTGCGTTGATTGATGGCTTTTTTATTCTTATGTTTTCAGTCGTCATCCGACTTAGGGCTAAACTATGACCATCTGTCATCTTTGCTTTCCCAAGGTATTTGCTATTCTTACGGAAATCAATATTCATAACATATTTTATCCCGCTCTCATAATCTTGAAATATTTGTACAAGCGCCATTCAACAGCTGATAATGTCGACTCGCCCATCGTCCCTCCTGCGTTTGGTCGCAAGCAAACAACAGCGTTCTCCCGCAACGTACACCCTCCACATCCCTTGCTATGTGAAGCCCAACGCCTCCGCTCGTCGCACCGGTATCACAGCCGTGGGCGTTGACAGGGTCGACGTATCTGTGGCTGCCGTTCCACGCGACGGGGCAGCTAATCTGGCGGTGTCGCAGGTTTTTGCTGAGGTTAGTGACTTCTTCTAGGGGCATCTTACGGTTGTCTGAAAGACCCAACCAGAGGGAGCTCTTCTGACAAAATCCTAGATCTTCAAGGTTCCTAAATCAAATGTAGAAGTGATTCGTGGCGGGAAATCGAAAGATAAAATATTGTCTGTTGCCGATTTGGAGCTCGGAGACGAAAGCGAAGAAGCATTCTTGCAGCGCGCGACTCAAAAATTGATTGATGCTGTCAGGACACGCTAATCCTAACCCAATTTG